GGCGGCTCAGCCGCGACGCGGCCAGGGCCAGCAAATCCTCCTCACTCTTGGGCGCAATGGCGGCGGAGGCCTGGAGCTCTCCGCGGACCCCGGAGGCGGTGGCCGGGCTCGGGCCTGGATCGGGATTCCCCCGACGGCTGCTCCCGGCACCCCCGCCCCTGCGGGCTCCCGCCTCAGTGCTGCGGTTCCCCAAACCTTCCGTCAAGGCGGAGGTCCCCCCGTGAGTTGAGCCAGGGGCAGCTCCCGACGGTTCAGAGTCCGTGGTCCTCTGTTACCCTCCTGTTCAGTCTAACACTCTCGTGCGCCTGAAATCGGTAGCTTCTCGGACGGCTGGTTTCTTACAGATCTAGGATGCCTGCTCTCCGGACAGCTGCTTTCTCAAGGATGGCGGCGCCTAAGTCCCCTGCTACCCAGACGGATCGCTCTCTGCCGGAGCTGGGACTACTCTCCGCGCTCTGGACGTCCCAGGCTCTGCGCTGCGAGTGGCGCCCACCGGACGCGACCTCCTGGTAGGTTTGCGCCCTGGCTCTTGGCGAGCACTGACCCACCTTTCTACCCCAGCCGCGGCCCCAGCCCCTGCTGGTGCCCTGGCCCCACGTCTCTCTCCAGCCAGCGCTCTCCCTCTCTGCGTCCCTAACCTTCCTCCCCTCCCTCCCGGGGCGGCAGTGCGGGTGGTGTGAGCAGCCGCGCGGCGAGAGCCGCTATAAGCGGCCGGGGGCGGAGCGACCCCTGGCGCCCAGAGAAGGAAGCGCGGAGGCGGGGCAGACAGCGGCCCCCACCCGCATCCCTCTACTCTCAGTTCCTTCCCGGCTCTAAACCAATACTGCAGGGATTCATTGCCCCCACCCTATGCTTACTTTCACCTTCTTCCCTGAGTTTGGTATTCCCAGAGCCCAGAGGAGGCCAGAAACAGCGGTGGGGTAAAAGGGGTTGAGATACATACAGAAAACAGGTGGATTCCTGAGCTAAAAAGAATCCTCCCTGTCTCCCCAACCAAATAAATAAATAAATAAAAAAGAAGAAAGGAAAAAACCTCAAAACAAACAAGAAGGGAGAGAAAAAAATAGAAATTTGCTACCCCATGTCACTCAGTGCCCGTGACCCAATAATGTATGGTAAAGTGTTCAACGGGTATGTGTTGGTTTGAACTAGAAGAGGCAAATCTCCAGGCACTGCTACCCTCGACCCCCAGTGTTGAGGGGCGCAGAGCAATCGAGAGAGTGAGGGAGCTAGAGAGTGAGAAAACAGATCAGCCTGGGGAGTGAGCAGGAAACCGACAGGAAAGCCGAGAAGGAGCGACAGAGAAAACAGAGACGAAAGCCAGATAGAGATGCAGAGACAGAGACAAAGCTTGGAAAAGAGACTAACTGACAGCCCCAGAGGGGGAGAGGGAGAGACAGAGACGGAGAGAGAGAGACGGGAGCCAAGACAGGTTGACAGATCGAGAGAGAAATGTAAATGGCGCGCTGCAGAGAGACACCCAGGTCCGTGTTCGGACTCCAATGTGACATATCAACTGTGGGGAAGACGCGGAGGCGGGGCGGTTCTTCCAGCGGTGTGGTAGGCTCTGGGCCTGTGCATTGTGACAGTGTGCTGCCAAGTGTGGACGTGTCCATGGGACCCTGGCCTTGTGTGTCCCTGGGTGAGTGGGATTGTGGACTGTGTTGTTGTCTTTGTGCGTGTATGTGTGAGGGCTGTTTAAAGGGAGGTTTTGCATTTGTCTTCCTTTTAGTTCCTAAATGTGGGACCCCACGAATGTCATCTCTTCCTCCTCAGGACTGAAGAGGAGAGTCTACCAGGGAGAAAGTCAGAAGGCAGTTCTTGCCCTGCCAGCCCAGCCCAGCCCCACCCCTGTCCTGGTCCCAGACCTTGTCTAGCCCCAGGATCTCTGCCCTTTCACTCTTCCTCACAGGTCTGTGGTTAGAGAGAAACTCATAGAGGTTGGACCCCAAGGAATAAATATTTGGGGGAGGGATTTGAAATTGTTTATGCAAATAACATAACTAAAATGTAGATTAAGTGCTCGGAACCCTCCTGTGAGAGGTGACTGTGTCTGTCATTTGAGTGACCAAGAGGAAACACAAGCTTTGATAGATCCTTCTCTATGAGGGATCTTCATCCTTCCTCAGGGTCTGACCCCTCTGGGGGCAATTTTTTGCTCACAGGAACCCCACGGCCAGAGGCAAAAGTAGAGTGTTTGGAGACCCTGGAGGTGGACAGCTGCAAAGGATCTCTTAGAGACGAGGCTAAGCCAGTACTGTGATATGTAAGAGTACATTGTGTAAAATGGAGAGCACCGGGCACATCAGGGCATAATTATTGGGTGGAAGGTGATTCCCTCATCTCCTGTTTCCCTTCCCTGCACCTCCCAACCCATAATGGTGCAGGAAAAAAGAGGTTGCTGAGGCTGGGCCTGTGTGGAGGGAGGCCCCTACATGCTTGAAAGGGTTGGGAGAAAAAGGATTGGCAGTCAGTGGGGGAGGGGCCTCCTCCAACCATAAATACAAATTTTATTCAAGGTCTTTGTCGCCATTTGTCTTCCTCGGGGGGCTGAGGGCCATGTCGGCCCCATGCATGTCTAATTCTGAATCTGCTCCCCCAGCTGGATGATGGATGGATCAGAGACAGAGAGCAGGCCAGGGTTCACCCTGGCCTCCTCTGCCTGATCCCCAAGCCCCATCGACCTCATGTCCTGCCACCCCTCTCCTCCCCCCTCTCCCCCCATGTACACTCTGAAGGTCCTCTCTGCTCAGCCCGGCCCCCACCCCCTCTCCTACTCACCCAGGTCCCAGCCCTCTTCTCTCTGGAGCTTCCCTTCTCCTCCCATCCCCAGCCCAGGCTCTGAGCTTCGGTGACCAGCAGGGCTGCAGGCAGCAGCGGGTGTGTGTGGTGGGGGAAGCGGGCTTGGCTCACAGGGAGCCGAGGGGCCAGCTCCATGAATTTATTCATGTTCTGTTGCTCTTTCCCCACACTCCGGAATGAAGCTGCCAGCTCACCAGGTCCTTATTGCTTCCCCTGCAGCTGTCACATTCGGCCAAGGAGGGACCTGGGTAGGGTCAAGGCCAGCCAGTGCTCCTGGGGCCAGAAGCCAAGGGGTCTGGGCTCAACAGGAAATACGGGGGCCCAGGCTGGGGTCTGGGACAATTTACACTCCTTGAGCTCCTTGGGCAGCCAAACTGGGAGGCCTCAGAGGGATGGTATGGTTTGGAATGGGAAGTAGACAGAGAGCTGTGCTGCAGGACACAGAAGGGGCAGTGGAGGTGGGGACAAGGCTGATGGGGAGGAGGGGAGAGGAGAGAAAGCCTTTAAGTCCCCTAGGCTCCCTGATTTAAAAGCACAGCCCAGTCTGAATCCTGCCTTACTGTATTCGGCCCTTAACTCTGAACTAGCCCTGACCCTAATCTCAAAGTATACACTTGACTCCTCTCCAATCCTAAAATGAATCCTAACTCCATAACTTGACTCTAAATGGAACCCACCCCTACCTGTCCTGTCCTGGAACCCAGGGGTGTCCCAAGAATTTCCCCCAGGGCTTACAGCCAGGTGTGTGTCAGAGTTCTGAGGACCAGACTTTAGATTAGCATGTGATTAGCATATGATTTGCATATGATATGTACATTCTACTCTGAGGAAGTTTTCTTGTTAAAATTTTATGAAGTCTAGCAGAAAGGTCCTGGCTCCTTGAAGTTTTTCTCTTTTTGTTCCTTCTCCCACACTCCTTGTCACTGACCTGGACCCCTTCAAGGGAAGAAAGGGGGCCGGAGGAAACGAACAATAGAGGACTCACGGGAGGAAAGATCCCAGAAGTGTGATCTGATCTGCCCCTGTCACTTACAGTGTAACCTTCACGGGCCTCAGTTTCCTCATCTGTAAGGGGAGAGGAACCACCTGGCTGATGTTACATTAAGATCTATAGAAACGTCTTTTTTTCCCCTTGCAATCTCTCCTTCCTCATCTTTTAAGGGCCATTTAAAGTGTGGTTCTTTTCCACTCCTCCCTCCTCCCCCCTACACACTGGCTTTCAGCTCCCACAAGTAAGATCACACAGAACTGGATGCAACCTGGGTTGCCTGGTACCAGACCTCTGATATAAAGAGAAAGGAAATTTCCCACCTGAGAGCACAGGGACTAGTACGGAAAGGGAAATAACATTATTATGTGCTTACTGTATTTCAGAGCTTTTATGTTTTGGGTTTTTTGGTCGGGGGAGTAATTAGGTTTGTTTGTTTGTTTACAGAGGTACAGGAGATTGAACCTAGCACCTCCTACATGCTAAGCACGTGCTCTACCACTGAACTATACCCTCCCACACTCCAGAGCTTTTACCAGCAAGTTCTCATTGCATCCTGGAGACACTCCTGAGAGATGGATATATTGTCTCCATTTTACAGATGAGGGAAGGAGGACCCAGAAAGGAAAAATGACTTATCTTGTATCACCCTGTAAATGGCAGCCCTAGAACTAGAGTTGTGATTTCCTGGTTTCCTTCTCACTGCCCGGAGAAGAGAAATGACACCGGAAGCAGTGGAAGGGTGCAAGAAGCAGGACAGGAGTGGGAAAGAGAGATCTGAATGGGTCTCAGGGGAGACCTATGCTTGTGAGGCCAACAGGGCAGGCAGGACCTTGACCGAACGTGTCCCCCAACCCCCACCTCCAGCGCTGTGGAGCCTAACACCCAACAGGTGCTCAGTTGTTGGCTAATGGATGTTGGATGTTTGGCCGAAGTTAGCTGAGGAGAAGTCACTTAGTTCAGTCGGAAGAGGAGAGAAAAGAGAAAAGGGAGGGAGAAGGAAATGAAGGAATCGCAGAAAAAAATGTGCTCAAGATGCCAAAGGCAGGAAAGCCGAAGACGTCTCTCCTCCCACCACCGAGGGGTAAGCAATCACGGCCCAAGAGCCCGCACGCACTTTGCCTTCTCTCTCAGAAGGTCGACAGGCCTCAGCGACCCGCCAGAGGGCAAGTCCGCCGCCCGGC